TCTCTCTCTCTCTCTCTCTCTCTCTCTCTCTCTCTCTCTCTCTCTCTCCCACACACACACGTCCCTCAAAGGTAGGTAGACCATCTAGTCCAACGAAGCGAAAACGGTGATACATCTCACTGAATTACTCCGGAGATAAAACAGCCCAGGTCCCTCAACAGCTGTGGGAGGCAGAGACTCTCACGAGGTGCATATGTTGATGTATTTCCTTCCCCTTAACTGTATGGGGTTAGTAGACTGTATTTAACTGTCTAGTCTAACCCATTTTCACCCCTTTAACAGTCTAGAATAGCCCCTTTTCATCTCCCTTAACTGTATGGGGTTAGTAGACTGTATTTAACTGTCTAGTCTAACCCATTTTCACCCCTTTAATAGTCTAGAATAGCCCCTTTTCATCTCCCTTAACTGTATGGGGTTAGTAGGCTGTATTTAACAGGTTGGAATCACCCATTTTCACCCCTTTAACAGTCTAGAATAGCCCCTTTTCATCTCCCTTAACTGTATGGGGTTAGTAGACTGTATTTAACTGGTTGGAATCACCCATTTTCACCCCTTTAACAGTCTAGAATAGCCCCTTTTCATCTCCCTTAACTGTATGGGGTTAGTAGACTGTATTTAACTGGTTCGTATCACCCATTTCTACTCCTTTAAGTGGATCATGTAACCCACTCTCATTCTCCTTAACTGGTGGAGTTATTAGACTGTATTTAACTGTCTCCCATAACTCAAGAGACTCACATGGTGCACAAAATGGTTACTAAATAACTCTCTGACTTTACCACGAGACTGATTATATTTTCTGTTGCCTTAAGTTTTTTGAGGTCAGGAAAGAATCATTGCTCTGGTGCCACTGAATTGTCTGAATCTTTGAGAGAATTGGGATCTTGGTATCAATGAATCGTGTGAATCATGATACTGAAGGCCAATTTACTTCGCGAGGACCAGTTAGTACTCTCGAGGACCAGTTAGTACTCTCGAGGACCAGTTAGTACTCTCGAGGACCAGTTAGTACTCTCGAGGACCAGTTAATACTCTCGAGGCCCAGTTAGTACTCTCGAGGACCAGTTAGTACTCTCGAGGACCAGTTAGTACTCTCGAGGACCAGTTAATATTTTCGAGGCCCAGGTGGAATTGCTGATCTAACCCAAGTGACACTCGAGGTTTCATGAGCTGCTTCTGATTAATGACATCCCTTACCTGTATTGACGCGACTCAGGTGATTAATCGCCCACCATTTACACCTGACGAGAGAGAGAGAGAGAGAGAGAGAGAGACCCTTGACCAAGAATTTTCGGATCTGGATAATGAAAGTAGGTCAGTCAGATCCTCCTCCAAGCTTATCCAGTTTCAGTTTTCCACCCTATATCCCACGGATTTTTTTTCCTAGGAGAGTTTCTAATTAATTTTTAACTCTAGGAATATCACCAAATAAGATCCCATTGTTATTATTTTTTCCCCAGGTGAGACTCCAACGCCAGATCCAATATCCTTTACATGTTCCTCCCATTTAGAAGTCATGAAGGGAAATTCATCTTCTTTTTCCCAGGCGAGCCTCCGAGGTGCTCATAACAAGAAGAGTCACAAGCCAAAGGACGCGACACCTACACGGGATCTCGATTGCTGTTAAACTTTCCTCATAAGTCATTTTTATTAGCGAGTTCTTTTACAACGATGTATTGAGGTCAGGTAGAGAGGGAGAGACAGATATTTACCCGAACAGGTAAACAAGTTGATTTATTTTCCTCCAAGTGTCATGTTTGTGGGTGTTTGTATGTGTGTATGTGTGTGTGTGTGTGTGTGTGTGTGTGTGTGTGTGTGTGTGTGTGTGTGTGTGTGTGTATGCGTGTGTCTGTGTGTGTGTGTTTTTATATATGCCTGCGAGTGTGTATATGTTATGGGTCCGTTTGTATGTATGTATGTATGTATGTATGTATGTATGTGTGTATGTATGTATGTACGGTAATAATCATACCATAACTACACACGAACAAATACTATTATGTACACCAACAGCCAAACATAATTAAATAAACGACAGACCATAACAAACACACACACACACACACACACACACACACACACACACACACACACACACACACACACACACACACACACACACACACACACACATGAGATATATTGAACGAGGTGGGCAGGAGACGGATAAAAATGGGCCACAGAGAGGAAATTAAGTAAATAAACAGAGATTGAACGAGGGCATACACACACACACACACACACACACACACACACACAAACACACACACACACACATGTTTATTTATATAACTCTCTACTTACTCTGTTCGTCACCTTGGCTCTGAACCCTGTACCAATATCACACGGGTTGGCTGATCGTTTGCCCTGAGTAGAAATTTAATGTAGTGTTGCAAGAATATATTAAAACTCTTGTACCGTAGATATTTTGAACTTTATGTAGATATTGAATTATCCTGTAGTTTATTGTGAGTTAGATTAGTTGTTTAGATGTTAGAGGGTAACTTAGGAATTTGTTGAGGTGTACTGAGTTTGTTGTTGTTACCGTGTTACTTTACAACAACTAAAATATGTTGTGTATAATTGATTGATAATTATACAGTAGTAATTATTAACCAGCAAAAACTAAGCTTGTTTTGGTTATTTTAAAATACAGAATTATCCAAAATAATCCACAAATTTGAATATATAGTTTTTAATTTAGACTTTTTTTTCGATGATTCAGTAAAGATAAAATATTAAGAATTTCTCTATAAAATAAATAAAAATAATTTAATACATAATTTTCGTTTCTGTTTATAACTTTATTTAGAACAAATTATTCATATTTTTATGTTAAATTTATTCTGAATGTTTCTTTTAAAAATTCATTAACATCTTTTATAGAAATTTCATTATTTCGAGTCGTATTTTAACAATGAAATTTCCATTACAAGTTTTTACGTCCACTACAATATATTACCCCAGTGACCACTAATGTTTTTGTTATTGTGACTTAGATACACATATTAACTACCAGATTGGGTAATAGATTTGTCACCTCGTCAACAATAGAATGGAACAACTCACACCCAACGTAAAATAGATATTTTTTTACGAGTATTGTATCATAAAATTCCTAGTACTTTCCTCACTCGGGTACAAACTTCTGGTTGGTTAAGATGCCTTGATCATTTATTCATAACGAGTCACTTTATCTTAAAACTGTCAAACGTAAGTATTCCAGATAATATGATACTATTAGATATTTTTTCAATGGAATCCTCAGGTACAGATCAACAGATATACCAGAATAGTTTAGTCAGCCAAGAAATATTTCGTTTTCTCTAATGCTGATCTAAAAGAAAACTTATAAGGGAAACTATGTTATTTTGATATATTAAGGGGTAACTCTTCAAGATGTTTATTACACCTCTTAAATAAAACATTAGACCAATACCAAAAGTTTAATGGGATATAATGAAATATTTGTTAGTTACAAGTGTACTGTACCTGTTGTCTTATGACTAATTACAGGTGTTCCAAGTGTCCTAAATATATAAGATTACCCTACAATCATCATAGAAAACGATTCTTAACGCAAACTCAAGTAAATTGTTGCGTTTGGTTTGTGTGTGTATAAAGTGCTAGTTAAGTTAAGTTAACATTGAATTGGTTACACTAGTTGTTTCATATAACGTCTACTGAATGAATGTTAAATTGTGTCGTAAATGTTGTTATATTAAGTTATGGTTTGTTATTTTGATTCGTTAAGAAAATTCCGGAGGTTTTATTTTAGTTTTTTATGCAAGAAAGATACAAGTATACAACAGGGTTATACAATTACGTTGGCCTCCTCCACCACAACCACCCACAGGCCTCCATCACAACCACACTGGCCTCCACCATAATCTCCCTGGCCTCCACAGCAATAATCTTGGCCTCCACCACCACAACCAGCCTGGCCTCCACCGCAACCACCACCTGGCCTCTACCACTCCCTGGCCTCCACAGCAATCACCCTGGCCTCCACCACAACCACCACCTGGCCTCTACCACCTCCTGGCCTCCACTCCTTTGGCATCCACCATTCCCTGGCCTCCACTGCTCTATGGCCTCCAACACTCCCTGGCCTCCACCAACCTCTGGCCTTCTTCCCCCTGGTCTTTTTTCCCCTACCCTCTACCATCCCTTGGCCTCCTTCACTTGGCCTCCTTCCCCCTGGCCTCCACTACCACCATCCCTTAAGGCAACGGATGCGGCGACAACTTTGAACTCTCCACCACGTGTTTCTCCCTCCCCCTCCTCCCTCCTCCCTCCCCCTCTTCCCTCCCTCCCTCCCTCACCTGTGTGTGTAAGTGAGAGAGGAGAGATGAGAGAGAGAAAGGGAGAGGGAATTAGAGAGGAGAGAGATGGATAGTGAAAGGGATCGAGACAGACAGACAGACAGACAGAGAGACAGACAGACAGAGAGTAATTAACAAATAATGATCGCCAGGTGAGAATAGAACACCCACCATTTTATATCACTAGTTATCCAAGTTATTGTTTATATCAATTAATTACAATAATAACAATGACAAATTAAGGTAACTCATTTATGATAACACCAAGTACCACATTTTTTATCTTCTTAATTTAATATATAATAACAAATTTTTTTCCCGTTTAACTTTTTTCCCATTTAACTTTTTTACCCATTTAACTTTTTTCCCATTTAACTCTTTTCCCATTTAACTTTTTTCCCAAATTAATAAAAAAAATAAACCATTTAAATTAGTGATTAATTATTGACAATGATTAATCACTTTCCCTCCATTACTATAAGACTTCAGGTAAGACTTGTTATAATTATGTTAATTAGGCTCAACAGGTAAGGTCTCTGAGTACAGGTAACAAGGTCTTATACTAAACGGCACACGTACAGTACACAGAGATCATAAGACTTTTCTCTAATTAATGTCTCTTAGATTTTAAACGCTAATTATAAGTCAGCTACCCAAGTGGTTTTATTAACGTTTTAACATGAAGTTTATTATTTAACGAGATAATTTAACAAACTCTAGATGGTAATTATGCATTATTAACAGTAAGGTATAGACCCCTAACTCGTGTGGTATTGTTCAATGTTTTAAATCTTGAAAAACCAAAAAAATAAAAATATTCTGGTGATTTACAGGAACATTTCTGAGGTTAAACCACTAATTTCCCTGCCCTAAACCTCCAGCCAATCAGAGTATAGATGACATAAAAACAACCAACCAATAGGAAACGAGGAAAGCGGAAGTGAGCTGCAAATTACTCTGTGCTTTGTTGTTCTAGATGATCCCACTATGGTGCTTACCTGAGGCGCCGAAATGTGTTCAAATAAATTTACCTCATTTAACTAACTTCTTACTTAGTTCCTACCTATTTATAACATTTGAGAACACTTAAATAACATCAAAGTTTATATCAATTATGTAGTTAAGGATTTATATCAATAGGGAAAAAAGAGAAGTTAAAGTTTGATGATGATTTTTAAAACCTGCCGATAGTCTGAGGGATAAGAGGTTCGTGTGTGCGCGTGAAGCAGTGGTCGACGGTCGTGTGGTGGTCGTGTGCAGGTGGGTACTGAAGCGTGACTCCTCCACACACACATCCTGGACCCAGAGGCGGCGTGAGTGAGGCATAAGGACAGGTTGTGTGGTGTAGTCAAGTTACCTTCTTCAGTAGAGTTGTCTGTCTCGGTGAGTCTTTCTGCTGACGAAGGAGCTCTAGTGGTGCGAGTCTTAGTTATGGCACAGGCGGTGTAGACTCCCAGATCTTCACTAGTGACACAGGCGGTGTAGACTCCCAGATCTTCACTAGTGACACAGGCGGTGTAGACTCCCAGATCTTCACTAGTGACACAGCAGGTGTAGACTCCAGATCTTCACTAGTGACACAGGCGGTGTAGACTCCCAGATCTTCACTAGTGACACAGGCGGTAGACTCCCAGATCTTCACAAGTGACACAGGCGGTGTAGACTCCCAGATCTTCACTAGTGACACAGGCGGTGTAGACTCCCAGATCTTCACTAGTGACACAGGCGGTAGACTCCCAGATCTTCACTAGTGACACAGGCGGTGTAGACCCCAGGTCTTCACTAGTGACACAGGCGGTGCAGACTCCCAGATCTTCACAAGTGACACAGGCGGTGTAGACTCCCAGATCTTCACTAGTGACACAGGCGGTAGACTCCCAGATTCACTAGTGACACAGGCGGTGCAGACTCCCAGATCTTCACAAGTGACACAGGCGGTGTAGACTCCCAGATCTTCACTAGTGACACAGGCGGTGTAGACCCCAGATCTTCACTAGTGACACAGGCGGTGTAGACTCCCAGATCTTCACTAGTGACACAGGCGGTAGACTCCCAGGTCTTCACTAGTGACACAGGCGGTGCAGACTCCCAGATCTTCACAAGTGACAGGCGGTGTAGACTCCCAGATCTTCACTAGTACAGCGGTGTAGACCCCAGATCTTCACTAGTGACAGGCGGTGTAGACTCCCAGATCTTCACTAGTGACACAGGCGGTGTAGACTCCCAGATCTTCACTAGTGACACAGGCGGTAGACTCCCAGATCTTCACTAGTGACACAGGCGTGTAGACCCCAGATCTTCACTAGTGACACAGGCGGTGTAGACCCCAGATCTTCACTAGTGACACAGGCGGTGTAGACTCCCAGATCTTCACTAGTGACACAGGCGGTGTAGACTCCCAGATCTTCACTAGTGACAGGCGGTGTAGACTCCAGATCTTCACTAGTGACACAGGCGGTGTAGACTCCCAGATCTTCACTAGTGACACAGGTGCTGTAGACTCCCAGATCTTCACTAGTGACACAGGCGGTGTAGACTCCCAGATCTTCACTAGTGACACAGGCGGTGTAGACTCCAGATCTTCACTAGTGACACAGGCGGTGTAGACTCCCAGATCTTCACTAGTGACACAGGCGGTGTAGACTCCCAGATCTTCACGAGTGACACAGGCGGTGTAGACTCCAGATCTTCATTAGTGACACAGGCGGTGTAGACTCCCAGATCTTCATTAGTGACACAGGCGGTGTAGACTCCCAGATCTTCACTAGTGACACAGGCGGTGTAGACTCCCAGATCTTCACTAGTGACACAGGCGGTGTAGACTCCCAGATCTTCACTAGTGACACAGGCAGGTGTAGACTCCCAGATCTTCACTAGTGACACAGGCGGTGTAGACCCCAGATCTTCACTAGTGACACAGGCGGTGTAGACTCCCAGATCTTCACGAGTGACACAGGCGGTGTAGACTCCCAGATCTTCACTAGTGACATAGGCGATGTAGACTCCCAGGTCTTCGAGTGACACAGGCGGTGTAGACTCCCAGATCTTCACGAGTGACACAGGCGGTAGACTCCCAGATCTTCACTAGTGACACAGGCGATGTAGACTCCCAGGTCTTCACGAGTGACACAGGCGGTGTAGACTCCCAGATCTTCACTAGTGACACAGGCGGTGTAGACTCCAGATCTTCACTAGTGACACAGGCGGTGTAGACTCCCAGATCTTCACTAGTGACACAGGCGTAGACCCCAGATCTTCACGAGTGACACAGGCGGTGTAGACTCCCAGATCTTCACGAGTGACACAGGCGGTGTAGACTCCCAGATCTTCACTAGTGACACAGGGGGTGTAGACTCCCAGATCTTCACTAGTGACACAGGCGGTGTAGACTCCCAGATCTTCACTAGTGACACAGGCGGTGTAGACCCCAGATCTTCACTAGTGACACAGGCGGTGTAGACTCCCAGATCTCTCACTAGTGACACAGGTGCAGACTCCAGATCTTCACTAGTGACACAGGTGTAGACTCCCAGATCTTCACTAGTGACACAGGCGGTGTAGACTCCCAGATCTTCACTAGTGACACAGGCGGTGTAGACTCCCAGATCTTCACTAGTGACACAGGCGGTGTAGACTCCCAGATCTTCACTAGTGACACAGGCGGTGTAGACTCCCAGATCTTCACTAGTGACACAGGCGGTGTAGACCCCAGATCTTCACTAGTGACACAGGCGGTGTAGACTCCCAGATCTTCACTAGTGACACAGGCGGTGTAGACTCCCAGATCTTCACTAGTGACACAGGCGGTGTAGACTCCCAGATCTTCGCGAGTGATACATACATACATACATACATACACATACATACAGTAATATCCTAACATGTGCGTCGATATGCTGTGTTATACAGATACCTAACCTAACCTGACCTGACCTGACCTAACCCAACCCAACCTGACCTGACCTAACCTAACCTAACCTAACCTGACCTAACCTAACCTAACCTAACCTAACCAACCTGACCTGACCTAACCTAACCTGACCTGACCTAACCTAACCTACCTAACCTGACCTAACCTAACCCAGTATTATATATAGTTAATAGATACGTCATTATTATAGACTATAGTAATTTGTTATGTAATTATATATAGTTATTTAGTTATCTGATGTATTTATATTAATTTGTATTATATTGAAGAGAAACGTGTGATGAGTGAGGGGCTGTGGTGACTAGTGAGGAGCCTTGGGGAGGTGTGAGGAGCCTTGGGGAGGAGTGAGGAGCCTTGGGAGGAGTGAGGAGCCTTGTGGAGGAGTGAGGAGCCTTGGTGAGGAGTGAGGAGCCTTGGGGAGGTGTGAGGAGCCTTGGGGAGGTGAGGAGCCTTGGGGAGATGAGGAGCCTTGGGAGGAGTGAGGAGCCTTTGGGGAGGAGGAGGAGCCTTGGGAAGGAGGAGGGCCTTGGAGGGTGAGGGCCTTGGTGAGGGAGAGCCTTGAGGTGTGAGGGCCTGGGGAGGAGAGCCTTGGGAGGTGAGGAGCCTTGGGAGGGTGAGGAGCCTGGGAGGTGAGGGCCTTGGAGGGTGAGGAGCCTGGGAGAGGGCGAGGGGAGCCTGGGGAGTGTGAGAGCCTTGGGAGTGTGAGGGCCTTGGGGAGGTGAGGGCCTGGGAGGGTGAGGAGCCTGGGGAGGAGCCAGAGGGCCGAGTGAGGAGCCTTGGGGAGGGAGGTGAGGAGCCTTGGGAGGAGGAGGAGCCTGGGGAGGAGGAGGAGCCTTGTAGCAGTGAGGGCCTTGGGGAGGAGTGAGGAGCCTTGTGGAGGAGTGAGGAGCCTTGGGGAGGAGTGAGGAGCCTTGGTGAGGTACAAGTGAGAGGTGAGAGAAGATGGGAGTCCTTGAAGGCAGTGCAAGCAAGAGTACTCCATCAACACCTGGCCCACTGAAGGAGAGTAGACGGGTGAGTGTCTGTCTACCTGTCTGTCTGTCATTAACTTATTACTATTATTAATATTATGATCATTTTATTAATTAATTATTGATGTTATTATTACCTGTGTTGATATTGGATTTATTTAGGATATTTAATTTTAAGGTGATAAAAATGGAGGCGAAGGTGTGGCTATAGTGGGAGGATGGTGGTCACTAATTGTAAAAAAGAAGTAGTAGTAGTAGTAGTAGTAGTAGTAGTAGTAGTAGTAGTGGTGGTGGTAGTTGTAGTTTTCGTATTAGTTGTTGCAATACTAGTGATGGTAGTGGTAATATTACATTATTTTTGAAGTCTCTCTCTCTCTCTCTCTCTCTCTCTCTCTCTCTCTCTCTCTCTCTCTCTCTCTCTCTCTCTCTCTCTCTCTCTCTCTCTCAGTACTCACACGTCTCCCTCCGTCATCACACCTATCCTCCGTCAGTACTCACACCTCTCTCTCCGTCAGTACTCACACCTCTCCCTCCGTCAGTACTCACACCTCTCCCTCCGTCAGTACTCACACTTCTCCCTCCGTCAGTGCTCACACCTCTCCCTCCGTCAGTACTCACACCTCTCCCTCCGTCATCACACCTCTCCGTCAGTACTCACCTCTGCCGGGGTATCACACCTCTCCGTCAGTACTCATTAATTTTCTCCGTCAGTGCTCACACCTCTCCCTCCGTCAGGTCAGGAAGCCCATCATGGAGAAGAAGCGTCGTGACCGCATCAACACTTGTCTTGACGAGCTCTCCTCCCTGCTGGCTGAGGACCGCCTGACGAAGGGTACTGAGAGCAGGAACCCCAAGCTGGAGAAGGCAGACATCCTGGAGCTGACGGTCAGGTACTGGCAGACTGTCAGGAGCATCAGCAGCGTCAGGAACATCACTAGCGGAGGAGAGGATGAAGGCGAGACGGTAGGGAAGGAAGACAGTTGTTATCTGACGGGATATAAACAGTGTATACGGGTGGTAGACGGTCTACTTAGTACCTGTCATGAGCCTGGGACAGAAACCCTCCGTCGGGGACTCCTACAGCACCTGTCCTCCCGCGTCCAAGAGCTCACTCCATCACCTTCACCGTCAGAGTCGATTTCTGCTACGACAGAACACAGCGGTGACACTAAACCTGCTGAAACTACTCCATCAACTTCCTCAGCGTCTCCTGCAGCCGCTGAAGAAAACACTCCTTCTTCAGTACCTCCTCCAAAGTGCCTCACACTCGTCCCAGCTCGACTCCCTGACGGCGCCTTGGCACTTCTCCTCCAGGAAGGTCCTCTTGATAGTCAACCCTCAACGACTAACACCTCCCACCTCCTGACGACCACACACGGCGAACAAAAGACCTCACCCGTCGAGACTCACCATCAAGACCTCCTCCGGCAGCAGAAGAACCCAGTGATCAAAGTCAAGAGCCCCCAGAAGCTTAGTGTCCCCCCCAACACGCCCCCAGGATCCCCCCCAGAGGTAGATGATGCCCCTAGTGCCACCTCCTTACCAGAACAGCGACAGGGACACGACCAGGCTAAGGAGGACCTGGCGATGATGGAAGAGGAGGAAGAGGAAGAAGAAGAGGAGGAGGAAGAGGAGAAGATGGAAGAGGAAGAGGAGGGGACGCCGATGGACTTGTGTGTTGATCGTGTATGGAGACCTTGGTAATGGACTTGTGACGTCACTGAATTTAAACGCTCCTATTGGTTACTCTAACACACACACACACACACACACACACACACACACACACACACACACACACACACACACACACACACACACACACACACACACACACACACACACACACACACACATACACACACAATATATACATATGTGCATGAATAAAAAGCTATACTCGATATATATGTAGTTTTAAATCATTAATAAATACATATAAATTATCTTCATTTCTTAAGTATCCCCTGATGTAGAAAATGGACCCGTGAGAGAGAGAGAGAGAGAGAGAGAGAGAGAGAGAGAGAGAGAGAGACGAAACAAGAATATAAATACAAACTAGACAATAATAGAAAATAAAGATAATAGCAAAAAATGAATAAATAAGTAAATAAATAAATAATAAGATAAGATAAGATGAAAAATTAAGAAGACGATAAACAAACGGATAAAAATATGATAATAATAAAATAAATAAAATAGATTAAATAACTCAACTATAAAAAATAATTACGACAGAAATTAATTAAAACGAAAAAATAAATTTGTTTTCGCTATTTTCGTTGTTTAGATATTTTTTTTTTTGGGGGGGGGTTGTCTAATCCCTTTGGTCACCCTTCTAAAGTTCACCCCCCCTCCAAGGTCACCCTCCTCCACCCTCCAAGGTCACCCCTCCTCCAAAGGTCACCCTCCCCTCCAAGGTCACCTCCCCCTCCAAAGGTCACCTCACCCTCCACCCATCACCCCACCCATCACCTCCTCACCCCCCCTCTCCTCCTTTTCCTCACCTCCTGCTTCTCTCAACATTTCCCTCTACCTCCTATCTCCTCCTTCCTCCTTCCCTATTCTTTGTCCTCCTCTCTTCCTCTTTCCTCCTTCCCCTCTCCTCCCCCATGTCGTCGTCAGTCATGCAGGAGTGTCATGCGCTGACAGACGGACTGACACATGACTCATGACCAAGGAACTTCAATGGTGACTCGTTAGGGGGAGTAAGGGAGGGGAAGGAAGGAGGAGAGCAGGGATGGGAGAGAAGGGAGGAAAGAGAGTCGGGAAGCAGGGAAGGGAAGAAGGGAAGTGGGATGCAAAGAAGACGAAGAGAAAACAATAACAGCACTCACAGCACCATGGGCAGGGGCAGGGGGGCAGGGGCAGGCAGGGGCAGGTGGGCGGGCGGGGAGTGGTTAGTGGGGCTAATGAGGGGCCTCGATTTTCTCATCATTACCTGTGTGTGCAGGTAGCGCGTGTTGTGGGGGTAGCGCGTAGTGCGTGTTGTGGGGGGGCGCGTGTTGTGGGAGGTAGCGCGTGTTGTGGGGGTAGTGCGTGTTGTGGGGGTAGGCGCGTGTTGTGGCGCGTGTTGTGGGGGTAGCGCGTGTTGTGGGGGTAGCGCGTGTTGTGGGGGTGGCGCGTGTTGTGGGGGTGGCGCGTGTTGTGGGGGTAGCGCGTGTTGTGGGGGGTGGCGCGTGTAGGTAGCGCGTGTTGTGGGGCGTAGCGCGTGTTGTGGGGGTAGTGCGTGTTGTGGGGGGTTAGGGCGTGTTGTGGGGCGTAGTGGTTGCTGTGGGGGTGCTGAGTTGTGGGTAGGTGTTGTGGGGGTAGCGCGTGTTGTGGGGGTTAGTGCGTGTTGTGGGGGTAGGGCGTTTTGTGGGGGGTAGCGCGTGTTGTGGGGGGTAGTGCGTGTTGTGGGGTAGTGCGTGTTGTGGGGGGTAGTGCGTGTTGTGGGGGGTAGGGCGTGTTGTGCAGGGGTGCGCGTGTTGTGGGGGGTAGTGCGTGTTGTGGGGGTAGTGCGTGTTGTGGGGGTAGCGCGTGTTGTGGGGGTAGGGCGTGTTGTGCGGGGTAGCGCGTGTTGTGGGGGTAGTGCGTGTTGTGGGGGTAGTGCGTGTTGTGGGGGTAGCGCGTGCTGTGGGGGTAGCAACGTGTTGTGGGGGGTAGTGCGTGGAAGAGTGTGTGTTAGGGAGAATGGGTGCGGATAGGTGAGGGTGGATGAGGATAGCGGTGTGAGGGGGGGGATGCTCAGGAGGGAGAGTGGATGAGTGTGGGTGACGTGATAAGAGAGGCGAAGAACTGTCACCACCAGCACCAGCAGTAGTGTGCCGCCCTTCACCAGGTCATCCCCGGGGTCCTATACAGCCTCAGGGCAGCAGCTCAAGGGCTGGTGGACCCCGAGGGCGGGAAGTGATGGCCCTGGGCGACCACCGTGTGTGTGTGTGTGTTTGTGTGTGTATATGTGTGTGTGTGTGTGTGTGTGTGTGTGTGTGTGTACTAATCTATGTATATGCATATATTAGTTTTATATTCATATACATAGTCACATACATTATACCTACTCCTCTATTCATACACAAATATGCATCACCTTGGTTCATTACATCAACATTTCCGGCCACAAGTCACCATCTGCCCACCGCAACATGACACCACCTGTCATCTTCCCCTCCCACCCCCCACTAGGCCAGTCAGGAAAGTAGTAGTTTTAGTAGTAGTAGTAGTGTACTAACTCCAGACTACCATGACCCGGCTATAGAGGTCAGAGAGTAAAAGGTTTACCCTCACAATGTGTGTGTGGCTTACCCTATAACATCGACCACGCCATGGTGTGCAAGGGGCCTCGTACACGTGAGGCATGACGAAGTGAGGGATCTAACAGCTACTATAATGAAGGAAATCTGCCACGACGTCATGGTGGACCGCCCCTCCTGCCACTGGACGGTGAAAACCTCCGACACAGGACTTCAAACACATCCAACGAAGCCCGTGTGGACGTCAGTGCTCGAGGATTCTGGACGCGGGGACAGCGAGCATTCTTTGACGACAGGATATGCCACCCATGGCCGCATGTCACCGTAACCTAGCTCTCGATGCTGCGCATAGGAGGAACGAGAACGACAAGATAAGGGCATATGGGGAGAGAATTCAGAACGTTGATCAAGGCAGTTTCACTCCTCTAGTGTTCACAACCTCTGGTGGGATGGGCCCAAGTGCAAGATGTTTCTACGCCAGACTCTCGGAGGTGATCTCCGAACAGAAGCAGCAGCCCAGAAGTTACGTTACAGCCTGGATGAGATGTCGACTGTCTTTCTCTCTCCCTCGGTCGGCTTTGCTCTGCCTCAGAGGAACGAGAGCATCGGCCCCAAAGCCGATAACAGCTGCAGATATTGACTATGAGGCAACAGTCACTGAATGCCGCATAGATCTGCGGCTCAACTAACTCAACACAGATAGGATAGCTGCTTATTTATTAGAATTTTTAATATTAAGGTAATAAAATGGCGGCGAAGGTGTGGCTATTGGGGGAGGCTGGAGGCCATTAAAAAAAGTAGTAGTAGTAGAAGTAGTAGTAGTAGTAGTAGTAGTAGATGCTGTTGTTGTTAGTAGTGTAATACTTGTAGTCGTTGTAGTAGTTGTGGGGAGGAGGAGAGGGGGTGTGGGGTGGAGGGGAGGGGGCGTCCTTGGAGCTTGGCGTGGTGCAGGATCATCCCCCTCCCCTTCACCTTCCTTTGCCCTCCTAGTGTTGATGGGGGGTGGGAGTAGTGTCAGTCGTGGGGGGAGGGACAGAGGGACACACACACACACACACACACACACACAGCAGCAGATAGAAAAAAGAGAAAAAAGGGGAAAGATAGAAAGATAGACATAACGGAGAGAGATAGAGAGAGAGTTAACACACAGACACACGTACACAGGTAGACAGTGAAGAGAAAGAGAGAGAGCAGGTGCGGTGATCAGTGAGTCAGGACAGGTAACAGAGGAACACTTCTTGTCTTGAGGCGGTGGTGGCCGGAAGTGTGAGATGCTGTCTCTCTCTCTCTCTCTCCTCTCTCTCTCTCTCTCTCTCTCTCTCTCTCTCTGGAAAATGAAAATGGAGGGAAGGAGAGATAGAACACGAAGGGAGGGAGGGAGGGAGGGCACCAGGGAGGTAACAGGTGGGTACGACAGGTGCAACAATAATCACCTGTGATCACCACACCTGCCCTGAGGAGGTGCTGGGAGGGGGAGGAGGAGGACGTGAAAAGAGGAAAGGAGGTGGGTTGGTATGTTGTCGGTCACCTGGGCAGGTTAACCTAACCATATGTTACCTGTGTTAATTGCTTGGAACAACCCTACTCTCTCTCTCTCTCTCTCTCTCTCTCTCTCTCTCTCTCTCTCTCTCTCTCTCTCTCTCTCTCTCTCTCTTCCAGCTTCCTGATCTGTACCGGTGGGGTGAGGCTCCTCCTTCTCCTCCCCCACCTTAACCCCTAGAGGCGTTCTTTTGCTCATTACCTCGTTGTACACCTGACGCTAACCTGTGTGTACATACATACATACATACATAATGGCTGCCCTCGTGTATCAGGATGAGCCGCCCAAGGGCCACCTGGGCGTAATTTGTAAAGGTGTAGAAGCTGTCGCCAACACAACAACCACACACGAGAAGACCGGACAACTCGCCAACTGCACTGGCTAGCCATTACCCCGGAACACGATCCGTAAATCGATTAACAACCAGGTCCCCAATTACTGCTGGGTAGACAGAGGCAAATGGCGTTAAGAAACTTACCCATAGTTTCACCCTGCCCGGGGATCGAACCTGGGTCGGCTCTCTTGAGTAACTGCAGGTAATTCAAACCTTTGGATGAATGACAGGGTGGAGGGGGGAGGGTGAAGGGTGAGAGGTGGAGGAAGGGTGGAGGGGGAAGGGTGGAGGTGGGAAGGGTGGAGGGAAGAGGTGGAGGGTGGAGAGGGAGGAGAGTGGAGGGGGTTAGGTTAGGTTAGTTTTATGTGGGTGGTAGTTATGACCTGAGGGTGAAGGGGGAGGCAAGGGGGAGAGGGAGAGGGGGAGGTCAGAAAGGGGGGGGGAAGTGGGTACCCTCAGGCAGGTGTGAAGAGACAAACAGTAAGTGAACAGGTGCACTATATCACCTCCCTCCCTCCCCCCCCCAACGATATATATCCCTTTCACTTTTGGTTAGGTTAAGTTAGGTGTGTGTGTGTGTGTGTGTGTAGAATATTCCCAACCGGATTTAAGAGTAATGGACAGACACACACACACACACACACTTACCCTCTCAACTCTCTCTAATCATCACCATAACCTCATCTGTTCGTTTAGTCCAAAGCCGTTACACTATCCTCATCGCCGCCACCAGCTCCCACCTGAGATCCCTCGCCCCGAAATTGGTGTTTGATTCTACAACAGCAACACGTTCTCATCCCGTTCCAACTACCGTAGAAATCATCAACGCTTGTAGAGAACTTGTGTGTAGACTCTTGTGTGTAGACTCTTGTGTGTAGACTCTTGTGTGTAGACTCTTGTGTGTAGACTCTTGTGTGTAGACTCTTGTGTGGTATAAATGATTATTATTATTATTATTGTTATTATTATTATTGTTATTATTGTTATTATTATTATTATTATTATTATTATTATTGTTATTATTATTATTATTATTATTATTATTATTATTATTATTATTATTATTATTATTATTATTATTATTATTATTATTATTATTATTGTTATTGTTATTATTATTGGATTTATAACTTGGTGTGGGTCTCCCGTAGACTTTATTGAAGTGAATTGCTTTGCAGTCTGTCTGTCTGTCTGTCCCTCCATTTCTCTCTCTCAACTCCCTCGCTCTCTCCCATCTTTCCTCCATCTCTCTCTCCCTCTCTCTCTCTTTAACTCCCTCCCTCTCTCTCTTTTTTTCTTCCCAAATTCCACTAAGTCTTTCTTTCCCTCCTTTCCTACACAAGCAGTCCCTCCCTCCTTCCCACCCTCCTTCCTTCCTTTCCTCTCTCCCTCCCTCCCTCCTCACTTCCTCTGGTGGTACAACGTTAAACATTCCTCTTGGGATTAACTCAATGGACCTCTCTCTCTCTCTCTCTCTCTCTCTCTCTCTCTCTCTCCCTCTCTCTCTCTCTCTCTCTCTCTCTCTCTCTCTCTCTCTCTCTCTCTCTCGTTATTCCCTGTACGTGGTGGTGAGAGTGTGTCTTATGCCCCTCTGGTCCTTAGCCACGTTTACCTGTAAGGTGTCCACTCAGGTGTTGGCTAATTGGTTCTTATTTTTCTTTTATTTCCTGACAGATTTTGTTTAATGGTGTAAATTTGGTTTTTTTTATTTATTTCGTGTTTATTTTGTCTATTTTTATAGGTAGTTGTTGTTGCTGTTGTTGTTGTTGTTGTTGTTGTAGTTGTTGTAGTTGTTGTTGTAGTTGTTGTTGCTGTTGTTGTTGGTGGTGGTGGTGTTGTTTTCAATTTTATATTTTATTATTATTGTTCATCTTTTTCTATTGTATATTTCCATTTCTTAAGTCTTGACATTTTTATTAATTTTTGTAATATTTTTCTCATGATTTATAAGATACATTTCGTCTATTCTCATTTTACATTGTCTTTTAATTTACGGTATTTTTCTTGGTTATTTTATAGTTATTTATGTAATTTGGTAATTTTTCCTCATTTTCAATATAATTCTTTTTTTTTAATGTATTTCAATTTTGATGCGATAATTCAATTTTGATTATTTAATTCAATAAAATAATTTCCCTATATTTTTGTAGGACTATCAACAGGTCGAAAAATTTTTGAATACATTTTTCAACTTTCAAAATCATTCTATAATAATTTATAATCTTTTTCAGACACTAACAATGGATATATAGTCTTTTTCACTAACATTTTGAATTTTTTGGAGTAAATTTACGTCTAAAAATATAGAACAGGTATATCCTAATTAGTTTTACCTGTGGTGTGCGCTAATTGCTTCAGGTGTTAATTTTTTTTATTCAATCTTTTTTTTGTTTCAAGATTTATATAATACACAGGTAAAAATATTAATGTCCGCATGTATGTGGGTAAGATTATGTTTGGGTTTGGTGATACATTAGTTATGTTGTAAGGTAAACTATTGCTCTATGGTACGATACCTTGGACCGACAGGTGAAGTGGGTGTCGGTCCGTCGGGTGAGCGTTAATGTGGACAAACACGGGACAGGTACTTCCTCAGGTGATCGCCTACCTCCCTACCTCCCTACCTCTCTCTCTCTCGTGTTATTTTAGTATTATTATATCGCCGAAAATTGTGTATTTGTTGTTCTTGAAGGCTGTGTGTTTGTATTTTTTGGCCAGAGGAAGAATGAGATTTTTTTTTTTGTATTTTGAGAGAGAAAGAAAACGGAGATTGACGGGTCAGTTGAGGCGAGCATCAAGTGAACACCTCTGTCTTAATCTGTAGTCTGGCTCTGGCTTCAACTTCGGATTTTTACGTGTGATTTTTTTTTTTAACTTATACAGAAAAAAGCTCCAATGGAATTATTATTACAAACTTACTAATATAATCATCAACTGGTGGTAAATATAATCAGCGGATAATAAATGAATAAATTAATCAATGAAATAATGAAATATAAGCCAAACTAACATCAAACAACTAATTAAAACCTTTATACTAAACATTAACAACACAAACACACTATTAACCACCCCCCCCCCCACCAAACAAAATTAAAACGAACAACTAAGCCAGTAAGCCACGGATCGGGACGCGTGTCAAGGGAGGGTGGGCTGGGCAGGGGAGGAGCGGCTCGTCGTGAGTATAAAGAGAAAGGCATTTCATTCATCGCCTGGTTTCCAACAGTCGAATTTTCTTGTATTTACTGGTTTCCCGTTACGAGACGAACCGTTGGCGGAGGAGAGCTGGGTCGGGAGGTAGAGAGAAGGTTTTAGGTGACAACAAAGCGGTGTTCCTTGCTGTAAGACTGCCATGTTTACCTGTCATGAACCGTTGGCTAAAACATTACTGGAACTTCCTGAATGATGACGTTAACGGAGACTTAAACTCATGTACTGTAAGGTAAAGATATATACAACTTCCTTTACACACTCCTTCCTTCCTTCCCTCCATCCCTCCTTCCTTCCTTACCTCTCTCCCTCCATCCCTCCATCCCTCCTTCTCACTTAGCCTGGTGGGAATCACTAACCATCAGTTCCCGGAGGCAGAGAGTAACCCATTGTTGATAAGTAAACACAGGTACAGGGCCCTTATTACAGGTGCTGACCTCCCTCATACAGGTACGGTGTGTGTGTGTGTGTGTGTGTGTGGTGTGTGTGTGGTGTGTGTGTGTGTGTATGTGGTGTGTGTGTGTGTGTTTTAATAGATGCAGAAGCAAGCAAAACGGTGACAAGAGGATGGATGTGTTTTACCCCTTGAATACGATAACTTGAGAGAGATATAAGACGCTGAGAGAGAGAGAGAGAGAGAGAGACTGAGAGACATTGTGTCACCTCTTCCAATATCTCTCACCATAAAGTAAACAAAAAATAATTGGCCCAAATATTAAACAAGACCTTACACGAACAACAACACAGGTGAAGGCGGATTTAGGATTTTCGTTCGACTAGAGACTTTCAGGTAATCCGGATTTATTATTATTTTTTTTTTTTTTACTTACTTGGGTTTATCTGGGATTTCCGGGGATAAAGGTGTATTCTTTACCTAACCTGGACTGTTTTGACATCACACCTGTCACACCTGTTTGCCGTCACACCTGTCACACCTGTTTGTTGTTACGCCTTCACACCACCACTTTATACGTGTTTTAATCAACGTCGGAGGCATTCCTGGGAAAATAAATACGTGTATGTTTTTTTATTCCTAGGAAGTACAACGATTTTATTATTATTATTATTTTTTATTTCTTCTGCATATTTTCCTCTCTGTCTTGATTTTTCTTGAATTATTATTATTAAACCCAACAGCATAAACAAAGTAAAGTCTGTTTGTTTGTTTGTCTGAGACTTAAAGAAACAAACATCAATAATAAGATAAATACAGGTGTGAATACAGGTGTGAATACAGGTGTGAATACAGGTGTGAATACAGGTGTGAATACAGGTAAAGTACAGTTAACTACTCAAGTCCGTTCACCTCTCTCTCCCGAACCCCGTGAGATTCAGACTTGTGAATCCGAATCATTTATGGACAGAATCATGTATCAGGAGTAGTTGGGGGGGGGGGGTTAATTTCAGGTATAATGACACACAGGTACAGGTAACAAGGTATTTAATTAACGTTAAGTAAACTCTATGTAATTGCTATCATTATACGTTATACGGTTTATGTATTATGAAAAAGGAGTGTTATTATTTGATCTTCATTATAATTATGTCAATGTTACAGGGATGATAAAAACAGGAGATATTAAAACGTTGTCCATTTAATTTACCTGGTGATTTTAATGCTAATGGCGGCAGGTAGATGTAAATTTACTTGGTCATTTCAACACAAACGAATAAAATAATCTTAATCTTACATAACATAAAATTATTCATAAACAACTATATCGTTATACATCTACATAACAAAAACTAACAAAAAGATCAATGTTGTTTTGATTTTTTTTTTGCTCAATAACGAACGCTATGGTCAATAAGGGAGAGAAAAAAGAAGTATTTGGCAACCGTTCAAGGGGGGGGGGTTGGGGTGTCAGGGGGCGCGGTGCCTCAGATGGCTGCGAGGCCTCGTAGAGTGAGGAGGTGGTGGTGGTCGTTGTCGTCGTCATCGTCGGAGCATCATGGGTCTACAGCCAGGGAACATGACTAGACCTAAGCTGACACGCCCTCCTAGTGAGACCAGGAAGGTGAGTTTTGGCCAATAATATTATTTTTTGGTGAGATAATGTTCAAGTTTTTATTATTATTGTTATTAGTTATTATTATTATTATTATTATTATTATTATTATTATTATTATTATCATTATTATTATTATTATTATTATTAGTATTATTATTATTATTATCATTATTATTATTGTTATTATTATTATTATTGTTGTTGTTATTATTATTATTATTATTATTATTATTATATTATTATTATTATTATTATTATTATTATTATTATTATTATTATTTCTAAACCATGTAAATATTCATATAGGTCAACTAACATGAATACACATATGTTGGCATTTCAGTTCAAATACATCAACTGACACTCATTTCAGTACAGTGTTACAATATATCAGACAGTCACACTTACACCTGTCTCAGTATGGGGACAACCAGGTGTGTGAGATAATATGACACAACGGAAGAAGGATTTTGACAACCTTGCCAAGACAACAGGAGTCATCGGTCACCTCTGTGTGTGTTGGACAAATACTTCCATTAAACACCTGTTCATTATTCACCTGTGATTAACTATAGTTTACACACCTGTTATTGTTGGTGTCGATGTGTTACATGTTAAGAAAATGATAATAATAATATTGAAACTCACATCATTGACTAGTATCACCCGTCACTCACCATATACCTGTCCATTCCTGTCGTGTACCTACCATTGTCACTCATAACCTGTCAGTACCTGTAACTACCTGTATGTACTGTCCCTCTCACTACTAGGGTGCCAGGTACCAGGTGTGCTGTCGGTACCTGCTGGCTTCTGTTACTATGTGTGTGTGTGTGTGTGTGTGTGTGTGTGTGTATAATAATATATAATAATAATAACATTGATAATAATAATATAAGTAATAATAATAATAATAATAAAATATAATAATAATAATAATAATAATAATAATAATAATATAAGTAATAATAATAATAATAATAATAATAATAATAATAATAATTGACTTTATTGAAAGAGCATAGCAGCCTGAAGGTTGAAAATATACAGTTACATAATTGGGGAATGGGTCTCTTGATTTACAAATAATATACAAGTAACATAAGTGATACAAATATGATATATAACTAGGGTGTGTGTGTGTGTGTGTCTTGCAGTTGATGTTACATAGTACCTGTCACACAACACCTGTCATAAGGTAACACAACACCTGTCATAAGGTAGCACCACCTGTCATAAGGTAACACAACACCTGTCATAAGGTAACACCACCTGTCATGAGGTAACACCACCTGTCATAAGAACACCACCTGTCATGAGGTAACACCACCTGTCATAAGGTAACACCACCTGTCATAAGGTAACACCACCTGTCATAAGGTAACACCTCCTGTCATAAGGTAACACCACCTGTCATAAGGTAACACCACCTGTCATAAGGTAACACATTGTTGTGGTCCACAGATCAGGAAGCCGTTGATGGAGAGGAAGAGGCGGGAGAGGATCAACACGAGCCTCAACGACCTGGCCAGACTGCTGACGGAGGCCCACCTGGTGAACGCGGAGGCCCTTGGTAAACAGACCAAGCTGGAGAAGGCCGACATCCTCGAGCTCACCGTCAAGCACCCTCTCAGACTTAAGGGCCGCGGCGACGTCTCCAGTAGCAGCTCGAAGGGCGCTGATGTCTCCTCTTTGGGTCACAGCAGCTCCCAGGGCAGCGTGGACCCCGCCTCACCGGCCAGTGGCAACTCCCAGGGCGCCGGTACTACGCCTCCCTCACAAGCCGCTGGGGAGCTACAGAGAGTGTGTGCCTCGTCAGGAAGCCCCGGGCCACAGGGGGACGTTGCATCTCAAAGTGACACTGTTTCACAAGGTGGCAGCGTGGCTCAGGAAGGTAGGAGCCCCCAGGGTGTCGCTGTTCCTGACGGCGGCGGGTCATCTCAGGATGCCACGAACGACAAACTCCACCTTGAAGGTCGTCCAAGACACGACACCGACGACTCGTGGCTCTGAGAACGACGAGAACTACAGGCTGGGGTTCAGGAGGTGCATGAGTGCCATCGACAGTGTCATGAAGCAGAACCAGGAGTGCCAGAGTGACAATATCCGCCCGAGGCTGCTACAACACCTTCACAGTTTCCTTAAGATGCTCGACACCAAGAGCTCCTCCACGGCTCAGGTGCCAGCTGACGGTGCCAGTACGTCCTTCTTACAGGCACATCCCAGCCAGCAGCGGCCACCACCAGAGCTTTAGACACTATCTCAGCCGAGGGTGGGTCTTCCAATCCTCCACAAGTGACGGGGCTGACGCTGGTTCCAACGCGTCTTCCAGGTGGGAGTTGGGCCTTCGTCATCCAGGGCGGCCTCGACACCTCACTCCTGCTGCAGACTGCTGAAGACGCCATCAGATCTAACACCCAGACGCTACCGAATGTCAGCGTGAAAAGTGTAAAGAGTGAAAAGCCTCCCACTCACACCCAGCCACCCAGCACCACGTGTTCAGGTGTGCAGACGCCGGTGGAGCCTCCCAGGGCAGCTAAGGTAGACCCTGGGAAGATGAAGCAAGAGAAGTAAGATGGAGATGAAAAGTGACGCTTCAAAAGAAATCTGCACAGTTGAGCACACACCTGCGGGACCACCACAGCACACACCTGCGGGACCACCACAGCACACACCTGCGGGACCACCACAGCACACACCTGCGGGACCACCACAGCACACCCTGCGGGACCACCACAGCACACACCTGTGGGACCACCACAGCACACACCTGGTGGACCACCACAAGACACACCTGCACACCACAGCACACACCTGGGACCACCACAGCACACACCTGCGGGACCACCACAGCACACACCTGCGGGACCACCACAAGCTGCCTTACCAGTGAGCACCGTGGCGAGCAGCGTCTCCACCACCAGAGTGTCTGACTCACCCTGCTCCACACTTGCTAACTCATCACTAGAGTTACTCTCTCAACCAACAACAAAGTCACCAGGAGTTGAGAATCTACATCGTCTGCCTCCAACACCGCCGACGCCACCCACGGGAGGCATCCTGTCACGGCGCTCTCCTACACTGTTCACGCCAACCACCTCCAGAGGCCCCAGCGTCGTCCGTGTACCTCACCTGAGAGTCCCTCCAACAACAACAACAAGTACTCACCACCTGCCTCCAACACCTCCAACACCATCACCACAGCGAAAGGCTCTCCATCAAATCACCAACACCACGACACCAACTAGTCAAGCCCTCACCAAGATCAAAGACTTCTCAACACCGTCCATCACTGTCCATCGAGTAACTACCTCTCAGTACCTGCCTGTCACACCTTCAGGGCCTTCGTCAGGTGTGTGTACCGTCCACACACTGACACCTGTCGACACACCTCGCAGTTACACCATCCAGACGCTGCCGCAGGTGTTCTTGTCAACCCCCACCACTAGTCCAAGCCTCTACATGCTGCTCCCCCCACCCCACCCCCCTACAGCGCTCCTCCCCTCCAGCAGGCAGCTCCTCCCTCAAAAACCATTCTCCACCGTCTCTCTGTTGTGGCTGCTGTTCACACGACCCCGAGGTTAGGCGATGGAGGAGGAGATGAGGGAGATTGAGGAAGAGAACGAAGATATGGACCTGTTGATGGTGGGGGGTGCTGGAGGGCGGGTGGAGGGGGGAGACAACAGGAGAATGACCTGCCCTTTGACCTGTCCATGAGGAGAATGTGGCGGCCCGTGAAGTGATCTTGACCTTGGTGATTGTAGTGACCTGAATGGTGACCTCTGGTAATCAATATGGTGATTTAAACATTATATATAGTGACCATAAGAGGAAGAGGTGATAATGGTGACTCCTAGTGAGCCAATATAATGGTGAAATTATGAGTATAGTGACCCTATCGTCCTGGTGAAGTGATCAACAGAATAATCTCACCAAATCTCACGATAATTGGGTCATTAATGTGTTTATCTTCCTGACTCACAGTTAATTCCTCACGACTCTTTAATGACTCAAAGTGGTGACCGTAGTGACTCATACAGTGACCTGGTAACCGTAGTGGTAACCGTAGTGGTGAACTTAGCAAATTGTGGTTAAATTAGCGAATTGTTCGGGAATGTTCAGATATGTTCGTAAATATTCGGATATAATCGGATACGTTCAGATATGTTCAAAACCGACAAGTTATACTCAGACTACCACACAGCCCAGCCCACATCTGACGCTCACTGACGTACCGACGGCTGCACGACGTAAAGTGACTTACTACTTATCACACTCAGAAACTAGCTCCCTCTACACACTAGTTATCTCTTCACTAGCTCTCCTTAACTAGCTCCCCTCACTAACATATGCCTAAAAAATCAATGAAATGCAATAGACCTAAGTTGACTTCTCGTGACCTCTCGTGACCTTTTGTGACCTCTCGTGACCTCATGACCTCTTCTCTTCCATGTTCTGTCTATGATTTTTTTATAAGATTATTATTATTATTATTATTATTATTATTATTATTATTATTATTATTATTATTTGATCTGTGTGTTGCTATGGTACTACAGTAGATGAAGTGCCTTAGTCTTGCTCAAGTCTATCTTTCCTGTGTGTTATTCTGGAATCACTGTAGTTACGTTATGCGTGTTGAGTGATTGGTTTAAATTATTACGTGTGATTAATGTGATTGGTTTAAAATATTTAGCGTGATTGAAGTGATTGGTTTAAATACTTAGCGTGTGATTAACGTGATTGGTTTAAAATACTTAGCGTGTGATTGAAGTGATTGGTTTAAAATACTTAGCGTGTGATTAATGTGATTGGTTTAAAATACTTAGCGTGTGATTGAAGTGATTGGTTTAAAATACTTAGCGTGTGATTAACGTGATTGGTTTAAAATACTTAGCGTGTGATTGAAGTGATTGATAACTATCCTTACACCGAAATGATTATGACTGGATGTTCAAATGTTACACTAATCATGGCTTAAAAAAAGTTATATAAATTATTAAGGAATGTTTATTAAAATCGAATGTTTATATTGATGTTAATTAATGTATTTAGAAAACAAATTAAAATATTGTTCAAAATTAGTGTTCAGAATCTGTTCATTATTCTTTGTTCAGTACAGACATATTGTATGTATGTCCTTGTGTGTGTATGTTATGTGTGTATTTTGTCCATGTCGACATATGTGTACTTTGAATGTACTGTAAGTTGTTTATATATGTGTGTGTGTGTGTGTACGTAGTAATATTTGTACATGTGTGGCTGTTTATGTGTGTGTATGTGGTGTCATGTATACATATGTGCGTATATAAAATAGTTCATATCTAATTTTAAATGTATCAGAGTGTATACATGTGTACGAATATGTTACCGTGTGCACATATATATTACCATGTATACATATGTACGTGTACACATGTGTAACTTAAGTGTATTTACTCTTCATAAGTGCTGTCTTTCCTACACATCTGTGATAACTCGGCATTATCCACACACCTGTCATATAATTATCCACACACCTGTCATATAATTATCCACACACCTGTCATATAATTATCCACACACCTGTCATATAATTATCCACACACCTGTCATATAATTATCCACACACTGTCATATAATTATCCACACACCTGTCATATAATTATCCACACACCTGTCATAATTATCCACACCCTGTCATAAATTATCCACACCCGTCATATAATTATCCACACACCTGTCATATAATTATCCACACACCTGTCATATAATTATCCACACACCTGCAATATAATTATCCACACCGTCATATAATTATCCACACACCTGTTGTAACAATAAAACATAAATATACTCAAGTGTCTTTTAGTGTCCTCGTAAACCATTTAATTACTGATAAAATGAATAAATAAAAATTATCCTAATATACCTGTATTATCACTCCAACACTGTCTCCAACACTGTCTCCAACACTGTCTCCAACACTGTCCCCAACACTGTCTCCAACACTGTCCCCAACACTGTCTCCAACACTGTCTCCAACACTGTCTCCAACACTGTCCCCAACACTGTCCCCAACACTGTCCCAACACTGTCCAACACTGTCCCCAACACTGTCTCCAACACTGTCCCCTACAAATAATGTTGGCGGGTGCGGCTTGGTCTTCTCTAGACTCTATCAGGTGCCGCAGGAGACAGCCGCCGGCGACGGACAGATCCTGACCAAGCCCGCACTGCCGCAGGTCCCCTACCACCACCACCACCACCACCATTACCACCACCCACACACCACCACCACCCACCACTACCACCACCACCACCACCAACTCCACCACCATCACCACCACCACCACCTCACCACCACCACCACCACCACCCACCACCCACTCCACCACCACCCCACCACCACCACCACCACCACCACACCACCACCACCACCACCCCACCACCACCACCACCCCCACCCCACCACCACCACACCACCACCACCACCACACCACCACCACCCACCACCACCACCACCACCCCACCACCACCACCAACCCACCACCCCACCACCACACACCACCACACCACACACCACCACCACCACCACCACCACCACCCACCACCACCAAATTAACCCACCACCACCACCACACCACCACCACACCACACCACCACCACCACCACCACTACTACCACCACCACCACCACCACCAACCCATCCACCACCACCACCACTACCACCACCATCACTCACCACCCACCCACCACTCACCACTGCTCAAACACCACCACCACCACCACCACACTACCACCACCACTGTCACCCACCCCACCGCCACCCACCCCACCACCCCACCACCACCACTGTCACCCACACCACACCACCAATCAACCACCACCACCACCACCGTCACCCCACCACCGTCACCACCACCACCACCACCACCACCACCACTGCCCACACCACCGCTCACACCCACACCACCACCACCACCACTCACCACTGCCCACCACCACTGTCACCACCACCACTGTCACCAACACCACCACCACCACTGGCTCACCCACACCACCACCACCACCACCACCGTCACCACCACTGCCCACCACCACCACCACCACTACCACCTCACCACTGTCACCACCACTGTCACCACCACCACCACTCCAACCCACCACCACCACTGCTCACCTACACCACCACCACCACCACCACCACCACCACCACCACTGTCACCACCACTGTCACCACCACCACCACCACCACCACCACCACTGTCACCACCACTGTCACCACCACCACTGTCACCACCACTACTACCACCACCACCACCACCACCCACCACCACCCCACAGGATTTCCTGTAGCTCAGAGGTAAGGATTTTACTTAGGTCAATATCCGGTGGTCAATCTGTCTCTCTTCTCTCTCTCTCTTCGTCCAATCTATGATTATTTCAACCACTTGCTTGACCTTCCTTCCCCCTCCTCTTCCTTTCCCTCCTTCTTCCCCCTCCTTTTCCTTCTCTTCTTTCCTTCCCCTTCTTCCTTTTCCCTCCTCTTTCATCCTCCTTCTTTCTTCCTTCTTCTTCCTCCTCCTCCTCCTCCTTCCTCCTCCTCCTCTTCCTCCTCCATCTTTCTTTTCTTCATCTCTTGTTGGCCTTCTACTCTTCATCCTCCTCCTTCTTCCTCTGTCTTCCCCTCTTCTCCTCC